TCAATATTGGTTTGAGTAGCGAACCTTTGTTTATTGGCAAAGCTGTTCCAGGACTAATTTGGTATACTTGCCCTCCAACCATTGGTAATTTTATTATCTGAGGAGACATGTTTGTTAATCCTTGCATATTTTGTGGATACAAAACAAATTGTTGATTTGTAACAACTGGTATTTTTGGTAGATTAGCAGTTAAGTGTTGCTGTTCTACCATTTGTTGAGGAGTTATAATTTTGGTTGGCTGCAAATCAAATGGTGCATCAGCAGATCCTTGACTCGCACTTGGCAAACATTTCTTTTTGCTGGCGGTTCAACATTTTGCGTGTTTTGAATAAAAGTTTTGCTCTTTTTTATTTTTTGGACCATCATCACTACTTTCTCCTGTATCTGTTTCATCATCAGAATCATGTTTCCTCTTCTTCGATTTATCCATTTTTTTCACTTTCATCGCTAGATTCATTTATTTCAATCTTATCTCCATGTGCATTACTTTCTTCTTCTGATGAATCTTGGATGGTTTCTCCTGGTTCACCAGATGCTCCTTGAAAATCTTCATCCTCTTTTTCATCATCTTGAGCTACAAAATCGGGTATATGGAATGGATTTTCTACTACAGTGTGTAAAACACAAGTGGGATCCCCACAATGTGCTCCTTCTGTGTATTGTAAATGTTGATTATGAGTAATAGGTAATTGATTTGGACATACACCTGGCTTAAGAAACCATGGCACTAGATCTGGCTTTGATTGTACATGATTTATTAGTAAAGTTAATGAGAATACTATTTGCATGAAGGGTATTCTGTATTTTCTTTAAATACTTTTTATCTTTTTCTTATCATAAAAAATTTTTAAAAATTTAATCATTGATTTCATTAAAAAAATCAAAATTTTTTAAGAAAAATCAATTGAAGATTAAAATTATAAATTAATTTTTTTATTATGGTATTTATTTTATTGTGGTACTGTAATAATAGCTTATAAAAAAGATTATAAAAAAATGAGTAATTAAAGAATAAAAATATATATAAAAATTTCTGCAAAATGTCTAAAAAATAAGTGTAAAATTTAGTTAGTAAAAAAACAATCAAAAATTTTTATAGAAATTAGTAAAAAATAAGAAAAATATCTGTAAAATTAGTAAAAAAATAAAAATAAAATTTAATTAGTAAATAAACAATCATAAAAATTTATAGAATTAGTAAAAATATAATCAAAAATTTCTCTAAATGTGTAAAAAATAAGCAAAATTATTTGAAAATTTTGATCATGTATTTTAGTTTACCGTCAAATTATAATGATTTATAGTTTACCCACAAGAAATATAGATTAAATTAATAATTAAAATTATTTATATTTAATAAAAAAAATAATTAATTATTAAAAAAGGTTTAAATATAAAATAAAATATAAATCAATTCATAATTTAATATTTAATATTTGAATTAATTTATATTTCCTCCTTAAATGTCACCTGACCTTTCAGAGAGAATCTGTATTAATTATAGAAAGAAGATTTCATTAAGTATTTATGTAGAATTTCTTAACTAAAATCAGAAATGAGGTGTGATATATATGGTTCAACTATGTCTTTTTGTGTCTTTAAACATAATATAGACAATTTTGCTTGACGCTTTATGGTAAAAACATGTAGTGCTTATAAAACATATAAAAGAGTACGTTTAAGGTCTTTTTTTGAGAATTTAAGGTTTCCCATGTCTGAAATTTTAAGATTTGTAATAAGATATTCGACTAAAAAAACTTTATACAGTATAAAATTAAATTTTGACATAATTGATAGCGCCTTCCATCGTATCTTACAAAAGTTGAAAGCAAAGATACCAGTTGTGGTAGCTTACGGATCCTAAGTTATTTTCAAAAAACTTGTAAAACTTGATTCATAACTTTTACTTAATTCTCTACGCATGGGTAAAAGTTTACACACCCATTTATCCTTTTAAGAACCGTTCTTTCGGAATTGACCGACCGGTCTTTAGTTTCTTTTTAAAGTCCTGGGTTGGTTTACAACACTAGTAACTGACTTTTCAAATAATAAACTGGGCGGTCCAGACTTTAAAGTTTAAGTAGTTGAAACCATGCTAAGATATAAAGTAAAAAGTAATCGTAACCGTTCTCCAACCAATAGAACCGACTCTTTATGTATTTTTGAGCCTTACGATCACATTACAAGGGCTTATGACACAATAATATCTGATAAGAAGGAAAACCCGTAGTGCCAATTATCTGTAAGCAAGTTGCTAATAAAAGCATTATTCGGCCTGATGAACACAAGTCCTATCCAAATTTACTTAATTTTCTTTTTGCCATGGCATAGTATGCCATAAATACGAATAAGTGAGTTCTGAAACAGGGATTAGTACGCAAGCAATTGAGTCATTCTACAATAAACTTAAACTTAAGATAAAAGGCGCAGAGGAGTTTTAACAGGCAAATGAGAAGATTTTTTGAAAGAATTTTGTTTTATTTCAACCCACTGAGATAATTTTTTTGAAGCTATTCTTGATTTGATTAAAATTTAGTCTTTATTGTTTTTTCAATATCACCTATTTTTAAACCCAAATGTAACTTATAATTTTATTTTATTAACATTTTGCAAAATTATTATAAATTATATATATTTAAGTTTATCCCAGGGGTAAACTAAAATATATGATGATCCCAAAATTAGTAAAAAACAATTAAAAAAATAAATAAAAATAAATAAAAAAAATATTTTATATTATTTCTTATACAACACATTTATTTAACCATATCCTCAATCCTATCACTAACCTCACACATATCATAAGGCAAATATCCAAGTATCCTTTTAATAAAACACTCTTTACTTTCCTTATTCCCTTTAATTATCTCACAACACAATGCTTTATATTCTTCCATTAACCTGTCATTTAAAAGAGAATGAATCTTTTCTTTGATAAAAAGTAATGCTCTTTTTTGTCATCCATGTTTAAGTAAAAGTGTCTTCTTATGATGAATTTTAATTCATTTATTAATTCTTGTTTGGTTGGTTTAATAAGTGTTAATTTCCATAAATCATTAGCTCTCTTTGTGTTATGGCCTGTGTTACCACCAAATAAATAAAAGTTTTGATTTACTTTTTATAAATTGGTGAGCTGTCCTAGAAACGGGCCCTTCTGTGATTAATTCTGTATCAATCCATTTTCTTAATTTAAGATTGTAAATTAATATTGTTGTATTGCTAAGCTTGTCTTTCTCTTTCGAGTAACATAAATGTATGATTAATTCATTACCCTTTAAAACTGTCCTTTGTGCCACTCTGCCATCACAGTTCAGTGGGAAAGGAACATTGTAATAAACATTTTCATATTCTAAAGAATAAAATGTTATTTCTTTGTAGAATTCTTTTCCTCTCTGCCCTCCTACGATTAGAAGTGAATTATTGAAAAAAAGAAGGGAGTGTAAAATTTTTTTTAAATTTGTTATTTTCTTCTTTAAAATAATTTTTTGGTATTAAAATTATTGAATGACCAGCCCTTCCTTTTAATTCTACTGAATCTTTAGGTTGTACGTTTTTGAGACCTGATACTTTTCATAATCCCATTTTGTAAATGAAATAACCCTGAATATGACTGATCATTCTGCGCTCTTCCCCCAAAAATATAAATACTTAATGAATTGTCTTCACTTACTTCACCTGTCATTTGATGATCAAATAAATTGGGTACTCCTTCAGAAAAAGTAAAAGAATGCCACTCTCCATTAAAAACAAAAAATTCTTTTTCTGACCAACCTGATTGTCTTTGATATTCTATTGGAATGTATCTACCAAATAAATAAACTCTTCCTCAACATTAATCATTTTATGACAACTTCTTTTTCCTGGCGGGGCATTTTCTTGCAATTTTTCCCACTTATCTTCGTTAATTTTGTATATCCACATGTCACTTAACTCATTTTCTCCATCCCATCCTCCATAAACTAAAATATTTCCATTGTATTCTACCATCCTGATGACCTCCTCTGGGATTTATTAAATCATTCTTCATTAATTCCCATTTTAACAAATATTTACTTCTCTCCAAATATTCATCAAATAAAAAATCATTCTTTTCTAAAAAGTCTTCTAATTCAAAAAATTTCTCAGAAAAAATTAATTCTTTTATTTCTCTTACTATTTCACTTTCATATTTGATTTCTTTATAAAAATTTGACATTCCTAATTTAATATTTTCTTCTAAATTTATTTCATTAATTGTTTCTATTATTTCACTTTTTTCATACAAATTATTATTGCTTATTTTTTCTGACTGAATTAAAATGTTCTCAGAATTTTCTGTGCTTTTTTAAAATATTTTTATATTTTTAAATAATTTTTTTCTATTTCTTCTATGGGAATGTCATTTTCTTTAAAAATTTCAGAATAATTTTACTGCTTAAATAAAATGACACTATTGAATTATAAAATAAAAAACTGTCAATCAAATCATATCCTCTTAATTCTACGTACCAAATAGAATAATTAAAATTCATTCCCCATGAACTTAAAGGAGTGATTTTTATTTTTTCACTGATAATAAATTTATTTTCTGTTGCATATTTTTAAATTTAATGTTTCTTTTTCTGAATCATTTTTTAAACTGCATTTAAGGACACATTCTTCATTTTCTGAAAGAGAATAAACTCTTGCCTCTCTTACGTTACAAACATGAATTTTGCAATACTTACCAAACACTATTCTAGTTACTATGGCTGGTTTGGTTAGTTTTAAAGTAATGTATTGGTCTAAAAGTGGTTGCTGAAGTAGACCATCTAGAGGAAGGATTGCTAGTATCTTCTGTTAAGATGTTTGATGGCTTGTAGTTTGATGTGTATGAGCTGTAATCATCTATCGTGTATTCTAGTATTTTATGTGAATTGTTATCTTTAAATATCATGCTGTTTTATTTGTCTAACAAATTTAAAAATAAATAAAACCTAAAACATTGACACAAATATAAATGTCTTTTTTAGAAGTAAACGGCTGTAGTAGCTCAGTTGGTTAGAGTGTCACGTTGTGGGGCCATCTGAGGAAGGATTGCTAGCTGAAGGTCTTGGGTTCGAGTCTCAATCTCGGTTACAGCATTTTATTTTTTTTATAATTTTTTGTATAAATCAAATAAAAAATTAAATCCTAGAATGTTTGGTAAAGAAAAAAATTTTGGTTTGGAAAATTGTGAAAACACAATCCCATTGGCAACCACTGAAGCTTTACAAATCTTACAATCTCAACAGAACAAAGTTCTATCAGATGTAAAAAGGACAAGCTTATCAAAAAACATTCCTTTGTACGCTCAAATATGCAGAAACATGTTCAAGAGTACCCATTCATAAAATAGATGAACTAAAAAGTTTCTTACAAGAATTTTGTTTAGAGCAAGATGAATTAGCTGTTATAGCCTCACATTTACCACAACAGGTAGAAGAGGCTGTCTTTCTTGTACCTTCTTTAGAAAGGTTTGGCAGTGAAATAGAAAATTGTAGAAAAATTAATTATATTTGTAATTTCTAAAATTTTTTATAAAAAATAAAATTTTTTTAAAAAATTTCAATTTTTTTTATAAAATTTTTTTTAAAAATTTTTTTTTAAAATATTTTTTTCTAAAATTTTAATATTTAATTTTTTTTATTATAAAAAAATAATTATTTTTTAAAATTATTTATTTAAAAATATTATTTCTAAAATTTTAATATCAATTTTTTTTTTTATTCATAAAAAAATAATTAAATTTTATTAAAAATAATAATTTAATTTTAAAAATATTTTATTTCTAAAATAATTTAAAATAAATTTCAATTTTCTTTTATTCATAAAAAAATAATTAAATTTTATTAAAAATAATAATTTAATTTTAAAATATTTTATTTCTAAAATAATTTAGTCAAATAACTTGGTTCCTTTCAAAACTAAATCATCTTTAACAATCAATTCTTTCTTGAAAACAGGGAAATAAACTCCTTCCTCTGCAAACTCAATAGTCTTCTGTCTGATAAGTTCATCCTTCTGTTTTTCATTTATAGAAACAATAAAAACATCATCACTCTTTACTTTGTGTCTGCTAGCCATATCACCAAACAAAGAATCAACTGCATCACATCTGCTAATAGCTCTAAATTCTTTGTACATGTTCTGCAAAGATCCTTTTCTGCTCCTAAAAACAAATTTTATGCCATAATTTTTTTACTGTCATGTTTGTTAAATCTTCAATTTGTTCTTCTACTTTAAGAATGACAGCACTGGTACTCTTTATTTTATGCTTTATTCTGAGTTGTTTTAAAAATTTTGAACGAGCAATAAGTTCATTTTTTTGCAAAGAGTGACATAGTGAATATTTGTGGGAATGCTTCTTTTCCAGTTGGCATTTTTGGGCCAAATACTCTGAATTCCTTGACTCCTATTGTAGGTTTAGATGCTTTAATCATCGTCATTTAAGGGTAAAATTTTTTAATAAAATAAAAAAAATAAAAATAATTATTTTTTTATTTTTTTAATTAATTAAATCCTTATGAAAGAAATAATCTCCTTACAAGTTGGTCAATGTGGTAATCAAATAGGACAAAATTTCTGGTCAAAAATATGCTTAGAGCATAAATTAGATCCATACGGATACCAAACATCAAACTTAGACTTAGAAGACAGGAAAGACATTTTCTTTTACCAAGCAGACGATGGTAAATTCATTCCAAGATCGATTTTGGTAGACTTAGAACCAAGGGTAATAAACTCTCTTCAAAAGAATTTCTACAACGAAGAGAACATATTTGTGAGTAATGAAGGATGTGGTGCAGGAAATAATTGGGCTTATGGATATCATTCAGGTAAATCTTTAAAGGAAGATGTTATGGATGCAGTCCAAAGAGAGGCAGAAGCATGCGATCTATTAGAATCTTTTTTTATGACACATTCTGTTGCAGGAGGAACAGGCAGTGGTTTTGGATCTCTTTTGATTGAAGAAATCAAAACTGTTTTTCCAAAAAAAGATTTTAAATTCGTATTCTATTTTTCCAAACAATGAAGAAATCAGTGATGTGGTTGTTCAGCCTTATAATTCAGTCTTAGCTCTGCAAAGACTCTTTTCTTTTTGTGATTCAGTGATTGTTATGGACAATGGAGCTTTGAGTAAAATTGCTTTGGATGCTTTAAGAGTTAAAATACCTGATTTTGATCAAATAAATTATTTGGTTTCTACAGTCATGTCAACCAGTACAACCACACTAAGATTTCCTACTTACATGTTCAGTGATTTTTCTTCTATTTTATCTGCCATTGTGCCATTTAACTCACTAAAATTTCTTATTCCTTCCTTCTCTCCCCTTCACAAATAAAGAAGTAAAAATTGTGAGAAAATTAACTGTGGATGAAATAATCAGAAGAATTTACTCAGATAAAACTAAGATGGCTAATTTTTTACTAAGCAGAACACATTCTTACGTTAGTGCTTTGAATATTTTTAATAACGTAGAAGATGTGAGTGAGGTACAAAAAGGACTTATAAAAAATTCATTAGATTTTGTGCCTTGGATGCCACCAATGCCTCACACAGTTGTGGGTAGAAATTTTGGAGAAAGGGTTAGTGGTCTTTGTTTGGCTAATTTTACAGGTATTTCCAGTTTATTCAAAAAAGATTGCGACACAATTTGATACCTTAAAAGTAAGAAATGCTTACACAGAAAATTATAAAAGTTCTGTGGAGACCTTTCAGTGTTTGATGAGGCAAGAGAATCAGTTGAAAGATTAATAGAAGAATACCAGGCAAGTGAATTAATGTCATTCAAAAATAAATGATTTATAGAAATTAAAAAAAAATACTATAACCCTCTCTTAAAATATTTATTTATTTCTTTTATTAATTGTTTTTTTAGCTTTGTTAAAAAAAAGTAGCAAAGCTTTGTGGAATGTACATACTTTCTAACCCTTCAAAACTTCTAATAGGCACTTTACTTACAAGTAAATTAACATCTTCTACCAATACAATATTATTGTAAATAAAATTACTTAAAAGTAAACAAATCTGATCATATTTTTTAAAAACGTACTCTCTTGTTGTTTTTCTCATAATTTTAAACAAAGCTTCTGTGAATATTTCTAAGTAATGTGCTAAAAGTACCTCATTCCTATCTTCAGGTGAAAAGATTATTACATAAATTTCATCCAATCTTTTTGTAAGGACAACTTTTTCATCTATGACTGATATTTCAGATAAGTCTTTTAATGCTTTTTTACAAATTATTTGTGATGTTTTTCTAGGATAATTTGTTTGTAAAAGTATTTCTCCTGATTCATCAACAATAGCCAAACATTCTACGTCCATGATGTCTGTTTTCATTCTTAGGGCAAAACAAAAATAAATAAATTATTTAACGTATTTTTAAAATAAAAAATAAATATTTAATAATAAATTTTATTAATCTTTAATTATCAAAAATGAATTGTGGAAATATGTTTATTAATTACAACCATTTAAATACTTTAAATTGGTAAGTTTTATCTTAATTTTATTTTTTTACAGTAAATTGCAAAAAAGTTAATTTTATAGCCTTAACTGCATAAGGAGTAATTTTTTTAGCAGGTGAAAAGCTTGCATTAATTTTAGCTGTAAATTATTATTTTAACACATACTATATTGTATTTTTTAATTGAATGATTATCCTATTTATACATAAGAGGTATATTTTAAGATCTTCGTATGAATTTTCCATCTTTAGGCAACAAAAAAAACTCTAATATTGAAAATTGCATTGATATTTTAAAAGTTTGTTAAGATATCCTTGTTAGTTGATTATTAAAACATCATATATACTCTAAATCAAGGTTATAATCGAAGTTTTTGCGAAAAAACTTATGTGAAATAACTTTAAAGCCGAATGCAAGGCTGGATTGATACTTAAAAATTAAAAAATAAGATTCACTAGTCTTAATATATTTATTGTAAAGCAAATAATCAAAAATTTTTTTGATATTCTCATATCATATTTAAAAAAGTAAAAGGGTTAGAAAAAAGTTTGACCTTAAATGCATGTTTTATTTATTTTTTTCAAAGTGTAAAATGTTTTCTTAATTCGTGTTTAGAAATCTGATTAATATAATATTTATTATTTAAATATTAAAAATAAAAAATTTTATTTTATTTTAAGTATATTTTTGTAATTGGATTGTAAAAATTAAAATTAGAGATAAAAATAAATATTTAATAAAATAAACAATATTTAATTTATTTATAAATATAATAAATTAATTAATAAATTAATATTTATTTTCATATGCATCTATAAAATTAACAAATTCACTCAAAAAATCTTTTTTATGGTAAAATTTTGTTACTAAGTCTTCTAAATTTACCTGAGAAACAATATTAGTATTTCCATAAACAACCAATTTACTCTCCAAAAGAGTCAATCTTAACTCAGCCTTACAAATAACATGTAATTCACTATTTTTCTCTAAAGTATCGTATTTTTCTTTTAAGAATGTGATTAAGTTTATAAACCTATCAGTGATGTACAATGATTTAAATTTTTTAAGAAAACTTGAATTTTTTGGGTCAATTATTTTGTAAAAATCATTGTATTTTTTAAAATTAAAATTTTCTTCAATAAACTCAGTAGATTTTAAAAGAATGGTTGATGAATTTACAACCTTTAAAAGTAAACTTTGTGTTCAATGAATTGGTAAAATCGAAAAATAATAAAAAAGAACCAAAAACAGAAGAAGGGAATATTCTATTAATAAAAAATAAATATAAATTATTTAAAAGATCTTAAAATTAATATTGATTAAATATAAAGGTACTGTTTCATTATCACTTGACACTTTTATACCATTCTCAAATATTATATTAAAATTAATTTCTTGGTATTTACAGAATAAAGATTCTCATTTATAAAATAAATTGAGTTACTTTTTGTTAGCATTGATTTAATTTCTAGAAAATAAATGTAATCTTTTATTTTTTTTAGGTCATTTATTTTGTAATTATCTTCGATCAAGTAAGTTTCTTCTTTTTTTGTGATTTTTTAAGCCTGGTTTAATTTCTAATTCATTTTCAAAATTTTTATTTGGGTATTTTCTGCGATAATTGTGTATG